GCACTCCAGTCTGGGCGACAGAGTGAGACTCCAACTCAAAAAAAAGAAAAAAAAAAGAATTAAGGTATGGGTTGGGGGAAGTGGCTCATGCCTGTAACCCCAGCACTTTGGGAAGCTGAGGCAGGCGAATCACTTGAACCCAGGAGTTAGAGACCAGTCTGTACAACACAGTAAGACTTTGTTTCTACAAAATTCAGCCAGGCGTGGGACAACATAACAGTAGTCCCTGCTAGCTACTCCAGAGGTTGAGGCAGAAGGATCATGTGAGCTGAAGAGGCTGAAGCTGCAGTGAACCATCGTGACCGTGCCACTGCACTCCAGCCTGAGCTAGAGAGTAAGACCCTGTCTCAAAAGAGACAGAGATAGAAACAGAGACACACAGAGAAAGACAAAGAAAAAAAACCACTAAGGAATGGAGAGATAAACAGAAAAAACCAGGAGTGGCACGTCAAGAGGTCAAGAAATGAGTTTCAAGATTAGTGTGATCAAAAGCATTAGGTACGTTTCTGAGAAGTCAGGTAAGTACTAAAAGTATAAGAGGGTTTAGATACTCTAGACATCATTTTTTTTTTTTTTTTGAGTTGGAGTCTCACTCTGTCACCCAGACTGGAGTGCAGTGACCGCTCCTGGCCACCACAGCCTTGACCAGCTGGGCTCCAGCGATCCTTCCACCTCAGCCTTCCAAGTAGCCAGAATTACTGGCATGCGCTACCACGCCCGACTGAGTTTTTTTTTTTTTTAGATTTATTGTAGAGATGAGGTCTCACTGCCCAGGCAGGTCTCAAACCCATGGACTCAGGCAATCCACTCACCTCAGCCTCCCAAAGGCGTGGGATTACAGGCTGAGCCACCGAGCCCGGCTTAGACATCATATCTTAAGTGAGAGCACAGAACCCAGAATTAGAGTGGGCTGAGGAATTCTGAGAGGTGAGGAAGAGACAGAAAGGACAATTGGTTTGATAGTGGCTGTGAGGGGAAGGAATGAGGTTTAGGGGTAGCAGGATGGAGACAAAAGGCTGAGACAATGGATATTTTGATTTGTTTTCAAGATGAGAAATAATATGACCATGGAAGCATTTGCATCTATTGACTGAACTAATATTATGGCAATTAATGAAAAATTTTTTTCATTCCAGTAAAAAAACATTACCATATAATTTTTCAATTCCTTTGAACTGAGCATAAAGGTCTCTCACTCTGCTGGGTAATGAATAAAAAGGACCAATGTCATCTGATGATGACTCAATTGTTTTCTTAGCAACATTAATTTCTTCAGATAGGAGAGTCTCTTTGAGCTGTTTACTTCTAGAAATTACTGGTGTTTGGGCCTTGGCATTTCCAGTCATTGCACTTTTCAGATAATCTTTAACACTTTTTCTCCTATTCACATCTGAACTAGTTCTGATTTTAGAAGAGGGTTCATCATTTTGCTGGGGTTGTTCTATGCAATTATGGGATACTTCCTCATTCACAACGTTGTGTGACAATGACTTTTGGTCTTTTCCTTTAGCACATTTATCACCCACATCATTTGAAGAGTTCTGCAAATTTTCAAAATATAAAACCTGGGAAGAAGGTACATCATACAAAACATCAGCTTCAGGTTCAATGGCAACATCTTCCTGTGCACTCTGGTTTTTTGCATGCTTATCAGTTTGTAACTCAGTGAAGTTGCCTACAGTAGTAATGCTGAGCTTGTTTTTGATGCTTTCTGAATTAATATCTTCATTGGCAATTTCAGTAGCGTGTTTCCCATGTTCAGGAAGTTGCATACATTTTTGTTCCAGGTCGTCAATTTGAGCTAAAAAGGAGTTTTCAGTAAAGCTATCATAGTCACCAAACATATCTTCACTGTCACTGTCATAATGCTGAAAAGAAAACAAAATTACTTATGATCAATTCCAGCTTCCTTAAGAAAAAAAGCTTTAGCCTAGGGCTGTACCTGATCCAATATGAATCCAATGACTCATTATATGGACCCATCTGTAAATCACCCTATGGAATAGATAGCAGCATCAATTTACAGGTGAAGAAGTGGAGCCACAAAAAGGTTAAGTGACTTGTGAAGATTCTGGGATTCTAACTCTTTTTTTTTTTTTTGAGTTGGAGTCTCACTCTGTTGCCCAGACTGGAGTGCAGTGGCCTCTCCCGGCCACCGCAGCCTTGACCTGCTGGGCTCCTGAGATCCTTCCGCCTCAGCCTTTCAAGTAGCCGGAATTACAGGCATGCGCTACCACGCCTGGCTGATTTTTTGATTTATTGTAGAGATGAGGTCTCA